CCTTCTTCTCAGGCCCAGAGTGCCCCAACATTATGACAAAGGGCTGAAACAAGGGCTATGAGAGTTATAAGCCAGGAATCATGGACACAAACGTAGACAGATAGTTAGATGATGGATAGAAAGAAAAGAAAGAAAGAAAGAAAGAAAGAAAGAAAGAAGGAAAGAAGGAAGCAAGGAAGGAAGGAAGGAAAGAGAAAGAAAGAAAGATGTCATAGGGTACAACCTCATGGGGTTTTGTGGGGAGCAATTAAGGTGATGGCTGTAAAGTGCTCAGTGTTGGGATTTCTCCTTCAATCCTCATGGCTGTCCCCTAACAGGGAGCAGATGTCCTGCTTGCCGCAGAGGAAATAAGCCCTGTCTAAGCCTCACTCACTTAGTGATTGTAGAGAGGTCCTTCGTGGTTCGTTTTCCTTTCTCATAGGAGCTTAAGGACACCCAAGTGACCCAGGCTCAGATTACATTCAGGCTCGCTAAGGGTGGCTGCTAAACCACCCTTTTATACCCACTCTCCCCTTTCTCTCCTCCTTACCAATGAACAGAAAGCAGGGTTCTCTCTAGTCATTTATAGCTATAATTGCTTAATATTTAAAGGATCAAGAGAAAATGGGGGTTTTTAAAACTTTCAGCAAGGTGTCATAGGCAGCCTTCTTACCTGGAAATCTTTATTTTTGGTGGGTGTCTTGACAATTTATACAGATTTTGTCTGTTTGTTTGTTTAAGTAGGACAGAGGAACCAAAAAGAGTTTACAGTTTGGCTTTTTGCTCCTTGCATACAATTCAAATAGCATGAAATAAAGTAACTCTTAATTTGAAAAAAAAAAGTGGTTTGTCACATCAACAGGGACTTAAACCTAGTGTAAGTCAGGAAGTCAGAACACCTGGTTCTGATCATAACTTTTACTACCTATGTGACCTTGAACAAGGCACTTAACCCCCAAGTGTGGTTTCTGGACCAACAGCATCGGTATCACCTGACAGCTGTTTAAAATGCATAACCTGGATCCTCACCCCAGATCTACTGAATATGACTCTGCTGTTTCCCAATAGCCTCAGGTGTTTGGTATAAACATTAAAGTTTGCAAAGCCCTGGTCGTAAGCCTATTTCCTGTTTGGTCAAATGGGAACGGTATGACTCACCTGAACATCTCACAGGGTTGTGATGAAGAGCAGATGAGATAATACATGTAAACATTATTTTATACCGCAAAGTACTGCACAAATGCCACGAATTAAAATGTCTCCCAATGTGAAAAATGGAGAATGGTAATTGTGTTATCATATAAAATGCTTCTCAGTTAATGGTAATCACTGTAATGGGATTGGCCTTTCCTGATCTTTGTTCATGATGCTGTAATAATATTTTCCAGATTATGACCTTTCGAAGATGAGAGATTTCATCAACCAACAAGCTGATGCTTATGTGGAGAAAGGCATCCTTGACAAGGAAGAAGCTGAGGCCATTAAGCGCATTTATAGCAGCCTGTAAAAATGGCAAAAGATCCAGGAGTCTTTCAACTGTTTCAGAAAACATAATATAGCTTAAAACACTTCTAATTCTGTGATTAAAATTTTTTGACCCAAGGGTTATTAGAAAGTGCTGAATTTACAGTAGTTAACCTTTTACAAGTGGTTAAAACATAGCTTTCTTCCCGTAAAAACTATCTGAAAGTAAAGTTGTATGTAAGCTGAGATTTTGTATACAGAATCCTTATTTCCTCATAGACTTATATTTTATAATCAGAATATGTTGCTTTGAAAAAGCCTCTAATGGACTGACCTTAAAACTCACTGTCTCATCCACACAAGCACTCCCTGAAGAATTAAGTGGGTTCTGTTTTCAAGGTATGCCAGGTACCAAAGCACCTTGCAGAGTATGTCTATTACAGGATGTCGTTTCCACTAGCGGTTCCCTTTGGGGAGTTGAAGTAAATTCACATTTTCTCAAAGTCTCGTAGCTTTGGAGGAGCTATCTGCTTTTTTGGCTGCTCTTTTTAGCTGGCTTTTTATTAGGCCCAGTGACATAAAAAGGATCCAGGTAAATGGGTATAGGATTTGCTGGATTTACTGACAATTTCGCCCTGCTCTTAACACTTCCTATTAGTGACTTTTCAGACTTGAGTTTGCTTATAGAGATATTTATGCACTCTCTAAGAAGACAAATGAGGTCATAAACACTGCATAAAGCAAGGTAAAAATGTATGCCACATCTCAGTTATCTAAACTGGATTAGATCCAAGCCAAGGTTTCCCAACAGAGAGCAAAGGGCCAGGCAGTAGGGTAGAAATCGAGATAAAAATCATTCCTTCCTTGTGATCCAAAGCTGGCAGAGCAGCTTCCCTGGAGGAAAAGGTTAATGAACTTCAGGTCCCTGCAACTCAGCCCCCACCACAAACACAGCCCTGGAAACATACAGTGGCCCAAGGTCCTCTTGAAATGTTAATAATTAATGTTCCCAAACCAGAGAATGCTTTGAAAATGTATTACTTGGTGTAAATTAATTACATACATATTTTTCTATCTATTTACTTCAAATTGTAAAAATAACATAATGCTTTGTGTATTAGAGTGAAGCCAGCCGGACTTCCTGGGTCGAGTGGGGCCTGGGAGAACTTTCCTGTCTTACAAGAGGATTGTAAAACGCACCAATCAGTGCTCTGTAAAACACACCAATCAGTGCTCTGTAGCTAGCAAGAGGTTTGTGAAATACACCAATCAGCGCTCTGTAAAATGCACCAACCAGCACTCTGTAAAATGCACTAATCAGCAGGATTCTAAAAGTAGCCAATCACAGGGAGGATTGAAAAAGCGGCACTCTGATAGGGCAAAAAGGGAACATGGGAGGGGACAAATAAGGGAATAAAAGCTGGTCACCCCAGCCAGCAGCGGCAACCTGTTCTGGTCCCCTTTCACGCTGTGGAAGCTTTGTCCCTTCGCTCTTCAAAATAAACCTTGCTACCGCTCACTCTCTGGGTCAGTGCCATCTTTAAGAACTATAACACTCACTGCAAAGGTCCTTGGCTCCATTCTTAAAGTCAGCAAGACCACAAACCCACTGGCAGGAACCAACTCTGGACACATTAGCTGTCACTGTTTCAAACAGTCTTTGACACCTGCATTGCTGTCCTGAATGCCCCTACCTGGTATCCCACCTTTTGGTGGGGACTGTGGGGGAAAGCTGTTTTCTTCTCCCATCCTCTCCAGAGAGTTGCAAAAACAAACAAAAGCCAAAGCCTGACACACACACACACACACGAACTAAACTCAGTATGTTCTAGAGAAGCCAGTACCCATCTGTGAGTGGGGACAGGGAACTAAAAACACCTTTGTCCAAATAACACTTGCCAAAACACAGTGAATCAGACTGTTTCCATGAGTCATCTTTGATAACATGACTGACTCCAATTCAGCCATACCCAAACAGGCTGCGTGTGCATCAGACAATAAACTGGCGCTGGCTAAAGCATTTTATCCATTCACTTTTCTATAAAGAATCTAAATAAGCAGTATTTTTAAAAATAAGAAACGTACTTAGGGAATTTACTATGGTTCTCAAAGCACATTGGCATTCATTAGCTCCTATCCATAACCAAAACAAAAGGAAGATCATCAGTCCGGTTTTATGAAAGAGGAAACTGGTTCACAAAGGGAACAAAAGCACAGGATATGCTCCAGCTCATGCAGCCAAGAAATGGTAACGTTGGGATAGAACCTAAGTTTCTTGTCTCTTAGCCCACTCCAGCGATTCTATGTGCAAGGTAGGGACTAAAGTACTCAGTCCAGAATAGTTTAACTGTGGCCACAAAGAATTCCAAGTTACTAATAACTTGAAGACGACCAACGTTTTGGCTAGAGAATGCTAAGAGAGACCTTAGGCAAGAATAAAATACTCAGAAAAAAAATGTTTTTGAGATTGTAGTCTTAATTTCAAATTTGAGCTGTTACGTCTTTTGGATTACTCTCAAATTTCAGAACATTTTATGTTAAATAGCATGATAACTCTACATTTTTAATGGTTCCTAGGCCACCACAGATGTTTGTTTGAACCTTTTCTTACACGCATACCTGTTTTTCTCCTCTTATTTTTTTTCATTTAGGTCTCTCTTCATCCAACTAACTCCCCACAGTTCAGGTAGTGAATACAAGAAAACAGCAAAGCACGATCAAGAGGGTACCCTATTTCAAAGATCCTATAATGTGAGAAAAAAAAGACAAGACACAGGGATTATGTATGTTAGGAACAAACAAAAAAATCAGCAAGACAAAGGGCTGACAGCTACTGTTTCCCATTGATGCAGCAGTTGGTCAGCCTCAGGGGTTGGATATATGCAGTTCTAATTCTGCAAGCTCTGATGCATTAACACCTATGGGCACTTGTTTCTTGCTTAATGGATGAGCTGGAGAAGCACAATGAGGGAAAGAAAACAAGGGAAGATAAAAGAAAGAGACAGGAGAAAAAATAACAAAAAGAAGAAAGTGAAAGTATTTTTGCTATGCTGGGATGGGGTAGATATGGGGATTTTTTGTGGAAGCCTAAAGATTTATTTAATCTAACAGTTGAACAGAAATTGAGACCAAAACAATATTTAATTATAAATGATATATTGCTTAAAGTGTACTACTGTAATCTATACATATAATAAAGACCAATTAAATTATGAGAATAAAAGTCAATTTAAATAAGTACAGGACTACCAAACACTCATAAAGTAACTTAGCAATGAAATCTAAACTAGAATTCTGCAATATAATGTCAGATTATGGTATTATTTATTTGTTCTTTTGATTTATTCCATGTTTTCACCATATCTGAATCACATTAGGTCAATGAAAATGCCAAGATTACCAGTAATTGTAATTGATTTGCTTTTAGATTAGTAATACTTTTTTCAAAATTGCATTTATAATAATAAAAACCATTAAAGTGAAGAAGGAGCTGTCACCATTTAAATATATAATTTAAAAGTCAATTTTATTTTCTCATTTGTTAAAAAAATGAAGACTCAAGTTTAAAAACATAGTTTATTTTCTCATTCAGGCTTTGTAGTTTATTGTTACAAAATAGCGGACAAAATTTGGTTCTTTATATTAATAGAGAATACGTAAGACATATCGAAATATATATATAGCACTTAAGTTATAAACACACAGCAAATTCAGCATCACTTAAACAGCAACCATATTTTCACATGATCAGGATTGCATAAGGAGATAAACATTATTTTTAGCCTAAATATATAAATAGTCTTTGATGCTTTATGTCAATTAGTATTTATAAAAGCTAGTCTAAAAACTAACACCACCTACAAAAGTGATGAGCTTTAGGATACAACCTTGCCATCATGCCATAATAAAGACTTAAAATTATAGAAAGCCAGAGGGAACTAATCACTTCAGTGCAATTGCAGCAGGTAGAACTACCTAGTTATGATTTTAAGATGGACACTATAGGAATCCAGAAGGGATGTTTTTGAATCTTCAGTTGTTGGATTCTTTAAGGTCCAAACATATCTTAATTTTGGTTAGAGTTATGCCCCCAAATCACCTAACTGTGATAGAGGGAAGTTGCATAGGGACTTTCTTCATCTCTGAAAGAAAATAAATACAGCATAAATCAGTGTTTAGAACTGTATTCAGAAACCTAAAACATAAACTTATTATACAATTTAATATCCACTTGCCAAAGAATATATCAATTTAGAATATTGTACATGCCTAGAAAATTGTATGAAATGCCAATACTTAAGATATACCTTACTATCTCCATTTTATTCGTATCTCAGTTATGAGAATAAATAATATCATTCATGTATTTATATTTGTCTATATTACATTTAAATATATTTTAAATCTATACTAAATTATATTCATATTTATATTTATGTTTTCTATACTTCACCTCTTTCTCAAAAGGATTTAACGTACCAACAACAAAGGGCATATATATAATAAGATGAAAAAAATAGAAATAAAAAAATCAGGACTAAGGAAAGGAGAAGGAAACCAATGTATTAATCATAAGAAATATTATAGGAGTTGAACCCAGGTATCAATTTTAGTTGCAAGCTTCCCAGTAACCACAGCAAAAAAGGAAACAGTAGATTGTACTTTTCTGAAATCAAATCATAAAGAAAACAGGAAACCAATTCCTATAGGAGAGAGAAAAGTTTGTCCTAATATCAAATTTTAAAAACAAAGAAAAAAGCTTGCATGAGATCTTACGTAGGAAATACTCAGTAACAAATAACAGACAATGTCTTTGACAAGTTTTATAAAGATCAATATTTTACAAGTATTTTCTATGACACTGCTTCTCTTGAACGTGTCCATGAGAGAGACGCTTTTACTTTGCTGCTATCCAGAATTGCTAGCTGGACGGTGATGCTATTAAAGAAAAGAAGCAAACTTTTTATAGTAAATAACAGATAATAACGCTGCAACAGATAAAGCCTTGTGCAGCAGGCAGCAGCTCTGTTTAGAGTTTACATACTAAAAATGCCTTTCTAGAACTAAAATGCAGTTTTTAAAGAAAAAAAAAAAAGGAAAGGCAAGAAAGAAAAGAAGAGAGAAAAGAAAGATTTGGCCCAGCAAGGACATCTTAATAGTGATTTCTTTAGACTTTGACATTCGTACCAGGGTATTCTTACCTGCTCTCTTCTTTTAGCTTCTTGGCTGCCTGTGTTGATAACTTAATCTGCAAGTCAAGTCTCTGCAGGAAATCTCTGGCTGATACTTCCTCAGGCTGCACAGGCTGAACATCAGATTCTTGAGGACTGGGAGGAGGGAGGTCTTCCCCGGGCACCACTGGCCCCTCTTCCTGAGAAAAACTGTTATCAACAATTTCATTTTCTGGAGAATCAATGGAGTTAAGTCCATTAAACAACAAAGGCTTCTCTGATATAACTGGGATGTTCAAAGTTTTCTTCAGAAATATACAGTCATTGGTAAACAGTTTATTGGCCCTTTTAATCTGCTCCATCTAAAATATAAAAAAGGAAACACAGAGTTACATATAACCAAGTCAACGAGTAAGGTTTAGTATATAACAACTACCAATATTCATAAGCAAAATGTACACAATGCTTTCTTGGGATCTGAGATTCTTCAATCAGGTTCGGTAATCTTCCCAGATATCTCCAGTTATTTCAAGAGATGTTGGAAAATTGTTTCCCGATTTTATAAAAGGACTAATTTTTCCCCACTATACTATTTCTACTACAAGGCAGCTTTTAATATCAGTGGACTTAAATCTCGGAAGCTTAAAAATGTAAAATATTTAGCACTTAATAAATTCCATTCTTGTTTTAACATTTCTATTATCTGATTTTTTAAAAACTTACCATGGCTGCTGTTTTACTTATGGAGTGCTTCCCATGTCTCTAGAACTATGCTTAGTAAATACAGTTACTGTATGAACATGAGCTTGTTCCTTATCTCATTGATCCTTTCTCCTCATGTGTAAGACAGGAATCATCTACTTTTCGCAGGGTTATTGCAAGGATTAAATGAGAGCTTATATACCCACTCACATCAAGGAGATATATATATGAGATATATATGTATATATCAAATGTATATTTGATATGTATATATCAAAAAGATATATGAGATATATATATGAGAGAATAGATACAAATATATGTACATTCTATACATATATTCCCATATATATCTATATGGAAAGAGAGAGAGAAAGTAGTGATTAGAGTATCTGGCAGTGGATGGTACTTACTACTCTCCATTTTCCAATGAAGAAATCAAAACACAAAAGAGATGGTAGATTTGACCAAGCACATACAGCTCTTTAAACGTTTAAACTGGGATTTTTGTCTGACTCCAAAGTCCACACAACATCTGGATTAAAGTGCACAACTAATGAAACCACATTATGGGGAGCCTTTAATGCCAAATGAATTCTGAGTAAAAACAAAAAAAATTGTATTTCTACTTCAAAAAACCTGCAAAACCAACAGCCAACTAAGTGGACCCTGTTCGTCCTGCTTTGTTATAAGTTGATTCCATGCAAATCATACATGTAAAGCTTTCTTTTTTCTTCTAAAGGTACTCCATTAAAGGAATGAGATTTTTAAAAAGGATGGTCTTTTGTGTTCTAGTTTCTAGTTTAAGGAGAAAGAGAACATAAACATGGGCGGGTGCCTTTTAGAGACAAAATTAAAAACTAAAAATCCAAAGTATATCTGGTCTAGTTCAGGTTTGACAGGGTTAATAACTTGGACACTCTGCCCATAGCAGGTTCAGTTATATGCTATTTCACCTTTAGGGCCCCTAGATCTTGCCCCCAAGCATCCAACTGCTCCCTCTCTCTTAGTGCCTAGGCTTCCAATGACACTAAGCCCTCCCTTGGCTCCAGAGTGAACATATGACTCATTCCTGCCCTGTGGAGCACCACAGGCTTTCGTGATAGATCACAGGCCCATGACAGAATCATTCAGACATGCAAAGAGACTTCTGCAGGGCGGTAGAGGGGAGCGTTCTCTACTGTTTTCTGCCAGAGGGAGATAGGCTGGAGATGCTGGCAGTCATCCTGGCACCTCGTGGAATCTGATGCTACAGCCACCTTAGAAGTGAGCATTTGGACTTCTGGATCACAGCCTGAAGACAGAACGTGCTCACTTCCAAGAGCCACTAAACTCCACTTGGAGTTTGTTTTTTGTTTAGGCCAATTTGAGTTAGGTTGTCTGTCACTTGTAGCTGAAAGAGCTCTTGCTGATACAGTGCCCTTTGAAATGCTTATCAGAAGGGGACTATGATTGCTGATAGTCATTGCTTCCTGGGAATAACGATGGAAGACAGAAGCAGATGGGAACACCAGGATCCAAACTGCTGAGCAGAGCTAGGAACTGCAAGAGTACACTATGAATTCTTTCAGGGCAAGAACTGGTTATTGCTATAGGCTTCCTGGTCTGACACAGATCTCAGACGCACTAAGTGCTCAGGATGGATGGATGGATGGATGGACAGATGGATGGATGGATGGATGGATGAATGACTTAACACAGGTCAAAGGAGTGGGCACGGAAAATGAAGTAATCGGAAATGGGTAGTAAGTTGTCTGTTGGGCTGCTTATTCTCCTTTCAAACCCACTCTCCCCTCCCAATCCATTCCCCACTCTTCTTGGACTTGTTCTAAACCCTAGGAGGCTGACTTTTTAAGAACTGCATTACCCAGGCTTCCTTGTCCTTGGAATTCCAGTTGGTTTTCCAATAGCAGCAGAACGACCTTACCATAACCAGTGGCTGCATTCCTCTCTGGTGAGAGTTCCTATCAGGAGTCCCAGATCCAAGGCTCCAGATCTTGCCAGTGCTCCCTTGGCCCTTCAGGCCTAGGGGTAATGTCTCCCTACTATTGCTAGTCTCTGGGTGCTTCACCTTCCCTTGTTGGTTCCCTCAACCATGCTCACACTCAGTGAATGTCCCTTCATTAAATTCTCTTCGGCCACATCCTCTGAGAGTGTTATCTGTATTCTGCTGGGATGCTGACAGATACATCTATCATATGGAGCACAATGGGCCATCAAGGCCAAGCAAGGGGCCTACAGAGGACTAGACAAGGTGACTGAGTCAGAGGCTGTGTGCAGTCAGGGAGTCCATAAGCAGTGAAGGGCAAGGCTCCCCTGGCTTCTGTACATACTGCTGCATAAGTGACTCACTATAGCTGGTCCACAAGCTTCCTGAAGTCAGGGGCTTCACCGTCTTCATCTCAATGTCATTAGTAAGCATTTAAGATGTATGTGGACCTTTATGGTCTAGACTCTAAGATGACACAGGAGATGCCAGAGTCAAGGACACCAGGGATATCCAGACACAGTTAGCATCAAGGTGGGAACCAATCTAAGGACAGGGGCAGATTTGAGTCTTGAGTTCAATACAGGATAGTACTCAGAAGCAAGGTTTCAGGGGCCATACTTTCTGGGTTCACTTCCTGGCTTTCCCATTTTCTAACCATTCCCTGTCTGTTTACTATCAGTAAAGTAAGGATAGTAATAGTTCCTTCATCTCCCTATATCATTGTGAATATTAAATGAATTAATTCATGTAAAGTATTTAGAAAGACATATGGACTGAGTGCAGAGGCTCATGCCTGTAATCCCAGCACTTTGGCAGGCCAAGGTCAGGAGTTTGAGACCAGCCTGACCAATACAGCAAAACCTCATCTCTACTTAAAAAAAAAAAAAAAATCAGCCGGGCATGGTGGTGCATGCCTGTAATTCCAGCTACTTGGGAGCCTGAGGCATGAGAATCACTTGAACCCGGGAGGCAGACGTTGCACTGAGCCGAGATCACACCATTGTACTCCAGGAATACATACACACACACACACACACACACACACACACAGCACACAAGAAGTACTCAAAAGTGTCAGCAATTATTATCATTAAATTTAATTAAAAGTAAGAAAGCAACAGGTAAGGGCAGATTCTAACATGTAATCAGCAAATGAGAAGGAAGAAGGTAGAAATTTTCTCCCACAAAATATTGTTTCTCAGCCAAGCATGGTGGCTCACTACTGTAATCCCAGCACTTTGGGAGGCCGAGGCAGGTGGATCACCTGAGGTCAGGAGTTCAAGACCAGCCTAGCCAACATGGTGAAACCCCATCTTTACTAAAAATGCAAAAATTAGCTGGGCATGGTGGTGGGTGCCTGTAGTCCCAGTTACTAGGGAGGCTGAGGCAGAAGAATCGCTTGAACCTGGGAGGCGGAGGTTGCAGTAAGCCAAGATTGTGCCATTGTACTCTACCCTGGGTGACAGAGTGAGACTCCATCTCAAAAAAAAAATGGTTTCTGTCCCAAAATAAGACTATATAGGGAAAATTTCACATGGATAAGCCCAGATGAATACCATAATATATTGTCACTGCTTTGAGTCACAAAAGGCTTTGAATAGGTTTTTCAAAAGGTAATGAAAATCTTAACCTGTTCTTTACAAGCTATGGCTTAGGCCAAATGTGTAGGCTCTAAACTCTGTCACCCATGAAGAAATATGAAATCAGACATGCAAAGAGCCAGGAATAAAAGCATTCCATCTAGAAAAAGGAGCAGCAAATGCCCCAGAGCAGGAAAAAAATCACGTGGCTAAAGTGTAGGGCATAATAAGCAAACTTCCAACCAGGCAGGGCCTTGGGTGCCAAGCTAAGGAATTTGGAATTTATTTTAAATGTGATGAGAAGCCACTGGACGGTGAAGGCAGGGAGTGGCATGATCTGATCATAGTTAAAGATCGCTTCCGCACCTGGATACAGAAAATGAATTAGCAGCTGGGTGTAGAAAACGAATTAGCAGCTGGGTGCAGAAAATGGATTAGCAAGAAAGAGGCACCTGCCATAGTACAGACAACAAACTGAAAAATCCAAAATGGTGAAATGATGTTTTCTTTTGCTTTGATATGTTTTTAATTTATTCTATCTTTATTGTTTTTGAGATAGAGTCTCACTCTGTCGCCCAGGCTGGAGTGCAATGGCACGATCTCGGCTCACTGCAACTTCTTCCTCCCAGATGAAAGCTATTTTCCTGCCTCCGCCTCCTGAGTAGCTGGGATTACAGGTGCATGCCACCATGCCTGGCTAATTTTTTGTATTTTTAGTAGAGACAGGCCTTCGCCATGTTAGCCAGGATGGTCTTGATCTCCTGACCTCATGATCCACTTGCCTCGATTTCCCAAAGTGTTGGGATTACAGGCATGAGCCACCGCACCCGGCCTGCTTTGGTATCTTTTATACTTCTGTCTGAACATAGATGGGTCTGCTGTTCTGGCAATTTCACTTCACATAAAGCTAAGAAAAGTCATCATCCAATCCAAGGAAGAGCTGGAAAACTCTATATAGCTTTCCTACCTACCCTCTGTTCAACATTTCCTAAGATCCAATTAATGCTGAGACTAGAAAGTGTGTCCTTTCAAACTGATGTAGGACTATCCTCTGTTTCTTAGGGATGGATGAATGGGAGTGGGGAGGTAC